GCCTTTGTCACACACACATAAGCTCATTTCTGACTTCCTACCTAACAATATCACTTGGTATCTATCTTTTTTTAAAGATTTTATTTATTTATTTGAGAGGCAGAGTTACAGACAGTGAGCAGAGAGACACAGAGAGAGGTCCTTCATCTGCTGGTTCACTTCTCAGATGGCCGCAATAGCCAGAGCTGAGCCTATCCAAAGCCAGGAGCCAGGAGCTTCTTCCAGGTCTCCCATGTGGGTGCAAGGGTCCAAGCATTTGGGCCATCTTCTGCTGCTTTCCCAGGCCACAGCGGAGAGCTAGATTGGAAGTGGAGCACCCAGGACTAGAACCGGTGCCCATAGGGGATGCCAGTGCTGCAGGCAGAGGATTAACCTACTTCGCCACAGCACCAGCCCCTGGTATCTACTTTAGAGTCTCATTTGGATTCACTGTTTATGATTTGGCTTAATTTAATTAAATGCTGGACACCAACGAACAAGTAAAAACATTCTTTTCTTCAATTTTGCTCTTCATTTGTAAAATGAGGTTGGGTGCAAGGAGGGGTACACGAGCTCACCCCAGTGAAGTACAATGAAAAAAAAGTTTGAGTGTCTTGGCTGAGCTGAAACATAAAAATCCCCAAGACATAAAACCGATCCAAGGAGCCCATAAAGACCCCAATGCCTTTGCCTTGGAACTTGGGCTATAATCTGCTGCCCTGGAACAAAATTCAAACATAAATCAGCTTGCACTGTATTTTTAACCACCTGCAAAATTCCTCATTTCCTGCCTGAAATGCTTCTGACGGTGAACAGTGCTTTTCTCCCTCACCCCTGCTCTGCAAAGACTCCCTGAGGGTGGAGGTGGGGACCTGGGGCTGGGCCCTGTTAGCTCAGCAAGCCCAGGACCAGGCAAGGGGTCTCCAGGACGAATCAGCCAGGGCTGGGACTCCATGGTGCTTTTGTGCATTCTCAGCCCCGCAGGGTTCCCACCTGGAATGCCTTCTCCCCCACCTCCAGGCCTCCATAACCCACAGCCTCCCCAAAGCACTCCCCAGCACTCACAGCATTCTCATAATTTGTGAGCTCTTAATGCAGCCACAGTAAGTAGCAAACAGCTGGCATTTAATTATATGATGTCTGGCATTCACTATTTCATGCTGTCAGTCTGTCTCTCTAACTAGATTAAAGATGTTGTCAGGGTAATGATTAGTTTTTTAAAAGATTTATTTATTTATTTAAAAGACAGAGAAACAGAGAGAAGGAAAGAGAGACAGAGACAGAGAGAGAGGGCAAGATCTTCCATGTGTTGGTTCACTCCCCAAATGGCCTCATTGGCCTGGGGCTGGGCCAGGCAGAAGCCAGGAGCTTTTTCTGGGTCTCCCATGTGGGTGCAGGGGCCCAAGGACTTGGGCCATCTTCACTGCTATCCCAGGTGCACTAGCAGAGAGCTGGATCAGAAGTAGAGCAGCAGGGACTTGAACCACCACCCATATGGGATGTGGGCACTGTAGGCAAAGGCTTAACCCTCTACACCACAGTGCCAGCCCCATATAGTCCTTATATAGCTACCTTACAGCCAGTAATGCTGCCTTGTGACTGAGCACCTCACAAATGACAAGGTCATGAAAAATGGAATCCTGGGATATCTAAGTTCTCTAGCTCTCTCCTCTGTGCCTGTGTCACAGACAAGGAATCAGAGCCAAAGAGGAGGCTTGACCCGTCCAAGGTCACACAGCGAGAGCACCGCCTAGCGGGGAACACCCCCAGTTCTGCCCACCAAATGACCCAATATTTCCCTTAAGCATGGAGCTCTAAATCCTCCAAAAGAGATGGCTCAGAGCCACAGCTCACTGGGAAACAAAGACAGACAGACAGACATCTGGCCCTCAGGAAGCCATCTGCTTCAGCATGAAGACCGGCCAAGCTGCAAGCAGCCCCATGGGAGCCGAAGCCGGGTCTGTGTGCGTCAGCTCCAAAGGTGGTCACTGCAGACTCCCCAGTGCCACCTGCAGCGGCTGCCATGCGGAACCCGCGATCCGAGGACATGGACAGTGGTGGAGAGGGTGTCTCCTCTCTCCCCAGAGATGCCTGTGTGCCCAGGGCCTTCAAAAACTTCATGGAAAATGTGTTTGATGAAAAACCGATACATGAATTTCAACATCTTTTTGCACCAAAATCAACTTCTCTTTTAATTTCATTTTCCATGAACTTTTAAAAGCACCCTCATCTGTTGGGGGCTGCCTCTGCAGTGCCTAATGCGCCCCCAATAGCTCAGGAAACAAGCGAGGGATATGTCCCAAATTCATAGCAACAGATACTCTACAATAGCGTCAAAGCTGTTGCAAACCAGTATCAAAACAATGACAAAAATTACCAATGGTGACAACTGCTAGGTGAAGCCCGGCAGCGACAAGCTGGCGGCAGGTTCCTGAGCCCTGCTGCCTCTCCTCATCATCCAAGCCACAGTACTGCCTTCTCAGTCATTCTCACCTCAACCCTGTGAGTCTGGTGTCGTAAGCCCATTTAACAGATGTGGAAACTGAGGCTCAGCCAGCTGAAGGATCTTGCCCCCCATCAACCACTGATAGGTGGCAGAACTGGGATTGGAATCCAGGTCGGTCTCTAAAAAGGCCCCACGCTTTCATGACAACTCACCCAGGCTCTCTACCAGCCCCATTTCTGCTATTTGGTTCCATGATCAGGCCGTGGGGGGCAAGACAAGATTGAGAAAATCCATGGCTGTTCAGAGAGAAAGACAGCAGCTTGCCCATCACTTCCCAGGGACTTGGGAAAAAGAGACAAGGGGCCGACAGCAGGCACACCCAGATCTCCATGGCTTTTTCTTGGTGCCAAACAAACACAGAAGGAACCACTTCGAAAAGAACACGGCGTTTTCCCCCTCCTGTCTCCTGTCCTCTAGGCCAGTGCCTGTGCTGATTGGGAAGCCCAGAGTCTGTTTTTTCTGGGACTGGAACCAATAGTGTGAGGAGTGTTCTGAGAATGAACAGTCGGAGTGACAGTTGACGGACAATGTTCTTGAGCAAGTTTTTCCTAGGCTGAGACCAACAGCTGCTCAACAGCCTGCTCCCTGTTCAGAAAGAATTTACGACATTTCCCCTCCGTGGGCCTCAGCCAAGCGGCCAAGCAAGATGGTATCTCGGGCACCTTCCGGCTCCATCACTCAACGACTCTATCAAGGGGAGAACGCAGGTCTGAAAGCATTTTCTTCTCCAAACACCGAGTCGGGGTTATTATTCACATGGAGAGGCACAAGTCCAACAGAGAGATAACTGCGGAGGAAACAGGCAGCTTTGATTCTGGTCTCACGCTTGTCGGCCCCGTAATTCCACTTTTGTGAATTGATCTTGCAGGAAGGATCCAGGAAGGACAGAGCTCTGTCCACAAAGATGTTTGCTTTCGCTTGCACACTGTTTGGAAGGACTGCTCAATTCAAGCAATGCATTCCCTTCCAGATGATGAGCTGAAGGGCATGAGAAATGTCTACGGCTGATTTTCAAGTTGAAGTCCGCGCTCCGCTAATGGGTCATGGAATAAACGGAATAGGTCTCCTGCCAACTTTTTTTTTTTTTAATTAGGCTGAAATAGAAAATAGCTGACTGCATCACAGGTGCTTGAAGTACTTATTTTGAAACTTTGTACTCAGTTATACGGGCAACCAAGCCAAGATATAAAATGTACTTAGTATTGTGGGGTCACTATCAAAACATTTCAGGTCTCCAGGGCACGGTACAATAGAATCACTACGGTATAAAATGCTCCTACTATGTGCGAGCCCAAGCCTGAAAGGGACCACACAGAAAGGAAGACAGGCACTTGTAAGATGGTTAGGATAAAGGATGCTGCTTCTCCATTTACAAGTTGTATCTCATGTTCTAACCATACGACGATTAAGAATTCAAGATGAGAGTCCAGCGCTATGGCTCAGTGGGTTAAAGTCCTGGCCTGCAGTGCCAACATCCCATATGTGTGCCAATTTGAGTTCCCGCTGCTCCATTTCTGATCCAGCTCCCTGTTAACGTGCCTGGGAAAGCAGCAGAAGATGACCCCAGTGCTTGGGCCCCTGCAGCCATGTGAGAGACCTGGAAGAAGCTCCTAGCTCCTGATGGGCTCAGCTCTGGGTGTTGCAGCCATTTGCGGGGGAGGGTGTGAACCAGCAGATGGAACACCCCCATCTCTACCTCTGTAGCTCTTTCAAATAAATAAAAAAAAATTTTTTTTTTGACAGGCAGAGTGGATAGTGAGAGAGAGAGACAGAGAGAAAGGTCTTTCTCTTTGCTGTTGGTTCACCCTCCAATGGCCGCCGCGGCCGGTGCGCTGCGGCCGGCGCACCGCGCTGATCCGATGGCAGGAGCCAGGTACTTATCCTGGTCTCCCATGGGGTGCAGGGCCCAGGTACTTGGGCCATCTCCACTGCCTTCCTGGGCCACAGCAGAGAGCTGGCCTGGAAGAGGGGCAACCGGGACAGAATCCGGCGCCCCGACCGGGACTAGAACCTGGTGCGCCGGCGCCGCTAGGTGGAGGATTAGCCTATTGAGCCGCGGCGCCGGCCTCAAATAAATAAAATCTTAAAAAAATTTTTTTTTTCAAGACAAAAGGAGGAATAGCAATAGAAGGCTATTATCAGATCCCAAAGGGCCCAGGGGCCAAGGCGGGGCCTCCAAGGATGTGAAGTTTGAATACGGGAAAGGCAAGGTTGGCATAAAATTGGGTAGGGTGGTCGCTGAAGGGGAAGGGCTCAGAAAACGAGGTTAAGACTTTCAGCGTTGTAAGGCGGCCTCGAACTGGAGGCCCCTCCTCTCTGGACAGATTTAGCCTCTCCCCAGCCCTGGGCTGAGGCCTCAAACGGAAGCTGCCCCTCACAAATATGGCTGTACCTAGGCGGCCGTGCCCCTCAACAAGATGGCGACCACGTGGCCCCACCTCCTGCGGCCTCGGCGGCCAATGAGGAAGCAGCACGAATACTTGCGCCTGCGTGGTGCTACTCAGTGGGCGAGTCCAGTAATGACCGGGAGATCCCGGCAAGTAACATGACGAAAAAGAAGCGGGAGAATCTGGGCGTCGCACTGGAGGTGAGAGGGCAGGTGGGAGTTGGGTCGCACGATGAGGCAGTACCCCTGCCTGGCCGCGGGATACTGGGGGCGCCCTGGCTGCAGGTTTTGAAGGAGGGAGGGGAGGAAGTGAGCGCAACGCGGGTTCTGGGAGAGGGAGGCTTGGGGTGAGGGGGCCGGGCGGGGTGGCCGGAGGTCCGAGACTGCTCGGGGCTCCAGGCGAGGGGGCAGCGGGAGGCCAGGAGGTGAAGGGGAGCCCCAAAGGAGGCGGGACACAGGAGGGAGGGGGCTCACGGCGCGGCGGGGGAGTGGCATGTGGAGCGATGGGGGAGCTCCAGCGGGACCGGGAGCAAAGCGTGAGGGGGCCACGCTGCTTGGCGGGAGGCTGCTCCCAAAGTTCGTGGGAAAATGGAGTTAAAACTTTTATCTTGGCGCAAAACCTAGCTTGAAAGCCATGCGTAGCTTTTCAGCAGTAGACACTTGTCGTGAACTTGTTGATGCACCTTTGAATGGGATTGGTGATTCACACGTCCTGCGAGATGGGTCGTCTTTCCTCTGGGGTACCAGCCCTGCAGCGTGAAATGACCTCGGGAACCTTTGGGAATCCGTAAGGAAAATTCTGGAGATGGCGAGGCTAGCAGAGGGCTTGAAATGACTTGCTGCATGTATGCGCAAGGGAAGGAAAAGAGACACACATTGAGCAACTGCTGTATGCTGCTGTCACGTGTGAGACTTGCCCAGGTGAGGAACGTGAGGTTGCAGGTAGCACCAGGTGGAGGTGGTGGCGTGGAGCAGATCAGCCTAGGAGGGCTTCCTGGAAGTGCCTCTTCCTTTTCGGCTCCTTTGGACTCCTCCCCACCCCCAGGGGTTAGCAGACAGGTGCAGGGTGGCAGTCTGATTCAGCCCTACTGCGTCCTTCACTGGTTCTCAAGCTTAAGAACCCATAGAATCACTTACAAAGCCTGCTGAAAAATGGAGACTCGAACTCTTTCCCCATCCCGTGTGGCTTGCTGCAGCTGCGCTCAACCCGCGTTGCTTGCGTGCCCGGTGGCTGCGGCGTATCTGTAGCCCCCAGGTTAATACCCAGAGCGCCTTTGCACTCACTCTGGGCCAATTCAAAGCCGCAGAAGAAACGAGAGTGGCCTAAGGTCCTGTTCCCACCTCGGGTCCGGTTTCGGCTCTCCTGCTTTATCATCCAGTGAGTTCTTCCGTGGTCTAGTTAGTGCCCGTTTTTTTGTGGCACTTTTGTGCATTTTGGTGATTTCGCTGTGTAAGGTGGCCCTGAGTGTAGTGTTGAAATGCTGCGAGATGTTGCCAAGTGCAGGAAGGGCGTGCTGTACCTTGCAGAGAAAATAGGTTAGATAAAGCTTGTTCACGCATGAGCTGATCCGTGTAACTCCGTACTATCAATGTTAATGGACGCACAATATGTGTTAAATAAGGTCTCTAAACAGAAACGCACATAAAGCAAGGTTTTGCATGGACCCCTTGATGAAAATGTACTCACAGGAACCTAACCTGATTCAGCAGCTGCTAATTCAGTGTTGGCATCGGTTACATAGAGCAACTGTACATAGATAGGCTGTCTTAAGGCACAAACAGCCACAGGCAGTATGTAAATGAGTGGGTGTGGCAATGTAAAAACATTTACCAACACTGGCGGTAGACCGGGTGAGGCCCACAGGCCATAGTTTGCCAGCTCCAGGACGCTGGTGGCTCTGCGGTTCCCTGGGGCCTTCACTGATGTGTCCCCTGGCTGAGAGTCGAGGAAGCACACCCACTGTCTTAGGGATCCAGGCTGCCCACTTCCACAGGCAAGAGCTGACCTCTGAGGTCCCGTCTAGCTGCAGGGGAGGCTGGGCAAGGCCCTCGTCAGCCCCAAGGCCACGGGCCAGACTGCAGCTCCGTCCCTGAGAGAGAAGGGGCCGGCGTGTTTCAGCGGATGCCCTGCAGTTGCCACTGCGGATTGCAGCCCGCCTCTGTGGCTGAGGATGGAACGAGACGCCTGGCCAGCCCTGGCGCCCTGCACCAGCCGGAAGTGGCAGCTCTTCCTGTTGGCTCCTTTTCTTTCTTTTGCATTCTTCCTCTGTGGCTCAGTCCACCCTCTTATTTGGGCTTCAGTTTTCTCTTCTGTAACAGAAGCACTTGAACTTCACAGAGGTACAGGCTCACTGTGGGCCAAATACAAATTACAGGTGTCTTTTGTTTGGCTGACACAGATTTTTAAAGTGTTTTGGATTCGATGAGGCATTAGTTCTAGGGCCTTATATGGAGCAGTTCCTGCTCCCCACACCCCCCTTTTTTTTTTTTTTTTTTTGGTAATTTGAGAGACAGAGGGCGCTCTTATCCACTGGCTCACTCCTCAAATGCCCTCAGTGGCTGGACCGGCCAGGCTGAGGCCAAGACTGGGAGTGTAATCCAGGTCTTCCGTGTGGGTGGCAGGAGCCCACTTACTTGAGGCATCATTGCTACCTCCCAGAGTCTGTCTGCACTGGCAGGAAGCTGGACTCAGATGCTTGGAACCAAACCCAGGCACTCCAGTGTCAAATAGGCATCTTCCCCACCGGGCTGACTCCCACTCCGTATGTTTTAACCTCTTGATCGCGTAAGAGGTATCAATATATGTAATAAGGTAGAGATATTTGGCATCTTGGTCTCAGTAAGATTGCTTTTTGCTTGAATATTCAAAGATTTGAGATCTGGGGGCCAGCGTTGTGGCGTAGCAGGTAAAGCTACCAGCTTGCCGCCTGCGACACAGCTCCCCGTACCAGCGCTGGTTCATGTCCTGGCTGCTCCACTTCTGCACCAGCTCCCTGTTAATGGCCTGGGAAAAGCAGCAGAAGATGGCCCAAGTACATCCCTGCACCCATGTGGGAGACTCAGATGGAGTTCCAGGCTCCTGGCTTCAGCCTGACCCAGCCCTGGTCATTGCGGCCATTTGGGGAGTGAACCAGCAAATAGAGGATCTCTCTCTCTCTCTCTCTCTGTCTCTCTCTGTGTGTCTCTCTGTCCCTGTCCCTGCCTCTTTCTCTCTAACTCTTTCAAATACATAAATGAACTTAACGTGAGATCCATAACTTGTGCCTTGGAAAACGCCTGGCATCTGGCGTCTCCCCTCACTCCCCTGGCCCCCAGCAGGTCTGAGGACCAAACGCGCGCTGAGGCTCAGCAGCAGTAGACATTGTCCTCTTATTAAAAGTCGTGCGCTCCGAGCCAATGAAGTGGTGATTTAATCAGAAATGTTTGTTAATCTGACAAGTGCAATAAACCCCCACCAGTGAGCTCGCTCGCACCTGCAGACGTCTCCACTTGTTGTAATGAAGCAATTACCACGCAGGCGGCACTCACCCCGGGGGCTGGCGCAGGCCGGCTGCACCGGGCAGTCACCGCCTGGGAGAGCCAAGGCCCCCGCCAGCCCCCCGACTCATGCTTCCTTTTGAAGCCTTTTTATCCAAGTCATTTGCCACCTTGTGAGGTCTCAGAGTTTTAGTTGCTGAGAGTTTGTTCTGAATAACAAGAGAAAATGTTTGTTCGGATGAGACATCCCCAGCCCTAGCGCTGGTTGTAGTGTTGTATGGGAGGAGAGGGAAGTTGTATTTCAGTCCAACTGGTGGGAGGATTTGGGCAGAGGGAAGGGACACACTTCAGTCTACACCGCGGGGATCAGGCTGCTGGGAAGCCTGGTTGTGTTTTTCGCTTTCCCGTAGGAACGAGCTGTCCCTGTTACTGCTTGTTTCTCTTGTAGCTGGTCTGTTTAGCCTGGTGGCTTTAGCGGCTTTGATGGCTTTGATGTGGGCTGCTAGCTGACGTCATCAAGGGGCGTTCCCTTGGTGGGATGTGGTAACTAGTACGAGAGTCCTGAGTTTGGAAAGCTTTTGGGTACCGGTTACAGAGATGACCTTGTCCACGTCACCGAATAGGAGTGTACTTTCTCTCCCCCTGGAAGTTTGTGGGCAGGTGGCTGCTGGCACTTGCTGAAAAGCTCAGCTGTGCGGGCTAGCATTTCTTCATTCTCGGCCGTTTTCTCGTAGTCACAGAAGAGCCGCCACAGTTCCAGTCACCATAGTCAGCTCTAAGTCGGGAAGGAAAAAGGATCAACACTGTTTGCCCGTTAGCACCAAAACCAAAGCTGTCCCAGCAGGCTCCCGGCTGATTTCTGGAACAGCTTGTTGGACAGAACCAAGTCAGGACCACAGCGAGGCTATGGAAGCACCTGTTGAGCTTTTCCAACTCCTGTAGGCGAGGAGGGGTGGGGAGCCAGTGTTGGGCTGGCCAGTGACCAGAGTGGGCTGTGCAGAACGGATGGGGCTTGTCCAAAACTCACCAGAGTCCCTCCCAGAGAGAGGGCAGAGTCCCTGACCATGAAGGAGAGGGGCCGGCGGCTGAGGGGAAACATGGCCCAGGCCGGGGTCAGCAGCAGGAGGAAAGGGGCCTCGACACTTGGCACTGATTCTATTGTTGTTGTTTAATTTTACTTATTTATTTGAGACATAGAGTTACAGAGAGAGGGAGAGACAGAGGTCTTCCATCCCCAAATGGCTGCAATGGCTAGAGCTGTGCTGATCCGAAGCCAGGAGCTCCTTTCGGGTCTCCCATGTGGGTACAGGGGCCCAAGGACCTGGGCCATCTTCTACTGCTTTCCCAGGCCACAGCAGAGAGCTGGATCGGAAGAGGAGCAGCCGGGAATTGAACTGGCAGCATAGGCGGAGGCTTAGCTCACTACACTGCGGCGCCGGCTCCTGTACTTATTTTTCATCAGCCACTGCCGTAAGCTCCCTGAGGACAAGGAGGGATGGAGGCACTGTGCCCGAGAGGGGTGGTGCCCAAGGCTGCAGGGAGCCTGCCTGGCCAGAGGCAGCTCAGAGGCCCTTCCATAAATAGTTGCTGAATTGGCCTGAGGGACAGGACCTTCCTCTCTGGCGTCTGTCTCACCAGTGCACTGCCGGGGGCCGGGACGTGTGCAGGGCCCGCGAGGGCTGCTGACCATTAAGTGAACCTCACCTGCTGCAGGGGGCGCACCG